TTTCTCCCTTTTTTTCTCTCAAAATAAATTACTTGTCATATTTCTACATCTTTCTCAGCAAACTATTAGTGCAGGAACACCAAAAACAAAAACAAAAAAAGAAAAAAGAAAAAAAGGTGAACACCCCAAAGCCAGAAGAAAGAATGGAATTATTTCTTGAAAAAAATGCATATTTAAGAAGCATGAGTGATCCAACATGAGAAACATATACATAAGGCAATCTGAATGGTTTTGCTTCTAATCTTCTACAGCGTTTCACTTGACAGAAGCTCATACTAGCATAAAAGTTACTTTAGAAATTGGGAAAGTGAAAAGAGTAAGAGAGAAATACATGGATTGGGGCATCGGCGTTGCAGACAACGCGCGTTCTTTGGAGCTCAAGGTGTGGTGGCAGCTTGCCCATCGGCACATCCGGCAAATCCCATATGGAAAATTCCTTCTTTTCCTCCTTCCCTTCTTTCTCAGCCATTGTCTTGTAACTTGTTCCCGGCGTTAACCTGAGCTTAGCTTGCTCAGGGTTTTAGGCGTTGAGGAATGCTAGGAGCACTCGCTCCAGCACTCTCCCTTCAGCAACCGCTCCTCTATTTATCCACGTAACTCAATTTTTTACCCTGGAAATTGGAAACCGGTTACAAAACTTCAACAATAATGTAAGTCGCACGTATTATATGATGCGTACTGTAATTGATTTTATTTCGAAAAATATCTTCTATCTCAGACCCTTTACTCTCTCTCTCTCTTCGAGTGATCGTTCCACTGGTAATCGGCAACATCAGTGAAAATTTGTACGATCAAAAAGAGCCTTCTTTGAGTGAACATCAGTGGAAAATGAGGACAATAGGAAGCAATATTATGAATATTTCCTAATTTTCAAACAAATAATTATCAAAAACTGAGAGAAATTGTAAAGTACTTCCCTTTTTTTTTATGAGGTTTTACAGAGATTTAAAAGAAAGAAGAGAAGTATTTAGTAGTGACTGGAGAAAATTAAACCAAAATAACTTAATGTTCAACAATTATGAAGGAGGGAGTCTCCTTATTAAATTGAAATATCTCTTTAACTGCCCAATTTAATGGAAACTGTAACTAGTTACCAAATCTATGGTGACTCCTTGCCAAGACCACCCATTGTCAACCAATCCTCAACCCACCCAAGTATACTCTGCTTACCACCATGAAACGTTTAATTTTATGGTCTTAGCCAGTGGTTTGATTAAATATACCCACAAACTTACAGAAAAAATTCCAACTTGATTCGAGCTTCAACGAAGCTAATAAAATTGAAACCATCTTAGTTGACTCCAACTTCTTCCATGAAAC